TATTTTGGATAGTTTTGAGCAAAATTTGGGTTCAAATTTGACTATAATCCGGGAAATGGACCCGAGGTACACAGTTAATACTCGCGTAAAGGTACTAACCCAAACCCAATGTCTCCCAAACTACAGGTTAGCAGTTTAGTATTGACAGACGTCTCTTATGATTTATATATGTATATCTTTTTTTAGATTAAGAAGAATAAGACATCTAACTATACCTGCGAGAAACACAAAACAAACATTCATGGGAGAATTTGGAGACGTGGACCGAAATCTTTGGCAAACTTCATTCACATTAGACACATGCTTCAGATTAACAATCCTAGTCTAAGAAATATCCATGCCAGCCACTTGCGACTCGTGTAGCTCCGTGATCTGGTTTCAACACCGTGTTAGGCAAAGGTTTATTGAACCACATTCTAATCTAATTCTATATGTAAGCCAAGTGAAGCTATTTCTTTAACAATATACATGATGCATCATGCACAAATGTTTGAAGTAAATTTAATTAACTCTGCTTTGTTTCCAGCATTCTGACCAGCAAATTAATCTCATTGCTTGTGTTCTGCACTGTATCGAAAAAGATGGGATTGTAAGCTACAAACTATTCCAGCGAACTGACAAGCCTTTGTGTAGCGGTACTAACTTAATTAGTTCCAACTCAGATTATTTTCAGCTTTCAATCGCAATGTTTTGTTTTCATACAAAAATTGAGGATGAATAGAGGTTATGTAGTCCGAAATCTTTATGTCTCTGAACACCAGAAATTATATAATAATGGGTTGCAAAGAGGAAAGCAGTGCTGCTCAAGCATCATGCTCATATGTTAACATTTGTAGTAGCAATTACTCTATTATTATCTAGATGGTTCGAGCAGATGGTTTCAAAAACAATATTAAGTTTTACATTTTCACTAGCTTAACTATTCAAGTATAAATAATAGATTAAGATTTATCAAGTTGAAGTTGAGTATTTTCTCGGACTAGGTGAATGTGCGTGTTAAAGCTGATTAATTTCTATGGTTGTAATTAGGTTTGGTTTGCTGGACTGGTTTCAGTCAATAGCAGATCGCCTCAAAGAATCTTCAATCCGGATCATAGAAACACGAACTCATGGTGTTATTTTAACTAAGCAGTGTCTTCCATAGTTAGTATGCAACGTTAAATCCCAGTTCAAATCTATTTCGAGCCATCTCAAAAATATTAATGCAAGCGATGTTAGCTTTTACTTTAGGTCAACGTTTACACACCATAACTAAAAGAAAGTATTTTTTTAATACAAAGTATATAGTACCCATGCACTAAGGTTTATGTACAACCCGGATCCTATTTGTGAAAATATATATAATCTTTAAAGAAAATATATATAAGGGCGAGAGTCAATAAAAATGTTTTCTTCTTAAGTAATAATTTCATTGTGGCTGTAGATCAACAAGGCTTTTTATACTCCGGCGACAAAAAGAAATTGGTAGCCTTCATATGAGAAACTGAAACTACCACCGTGCCGCGGATTCGTGATTAATGACAGTTCTACTTTAAATTCTTGTGGGATTTAAATGGACCAGCTAATGAGGAAACGAGGAAGTTTTTTGTTTATTTTTTTTTAATTAGAACAATATAATATACAAAATATGAAATATTTGAAGTGTGTACTGCTTGCTCTTTCTTTATCCCAAAAGTGCCAGTTCGTTACGTGTGAACTACTCGAAAATTCACAAACAGTTCAGTTCGTTTAATATATTTCTAAAGTTTAGTCCATTATCATTTCAGTGACTGAAATTTTCACAAAGTATTTGGCTTTTTGTCAAGAACTGGCTGATATTGATGAAATTATTTTCCTTTTGGTACATCGAAACATTATCTTTTCAAAAAATATTGAAGTAGACTAAAAAGGATGTGCGCCCGTTTCTAGAACAAAATCATGTGAAATTAATATTTTGAAGTCAATTTTTTGGTTTTCCCATTTTCCATTTCGTCCTTCTAATGTAGGCTAATCCTTGCCTTATGCAATTCATATGGGTATACATTTTTCAAAAATGGTATGATTTTCAAGAATTGTTTAAAATTGGCTTTAATTCCAAATTTTATACGCCCTCGTAGATATGTGGACATATATAGTCGTCGCCCTAGTCCGTCCGTCGGTCCGTCTGTCACCATTTCTTGTGAGCATAATAGAGACAACAGATTTTATCTGATTTAAATGGAATTTGGTGTGATCATTTATATTGATGGGATCTTGGTCAAGTTCGAATTTGAAGTTTTTCGATAAACGGTTTTCGATTTATTGCCCTTGACTTAGTCAAACGCGTCAAAATTTGTTTGTGAGCAAATTGCTGAGATCTTGGACAAGGTCGAATTTGAATATTTTTCGTACACCTCTCTTTAAACTGATATATGTTTCTGGAATTAGAACATTCATCTCATTTAGTCGCTTTTCGATTGCTATTTTTCGATTTTCCAATGCAACCAAATTAATATTTAACAATAATCAAAGAAAAGATTGCAACGAATTCCACAAATTTTTATATATTGAAATTTCCAGAAACCGTCCTTTAAGCTAAGTTAATTAAGTTGTATTTTTTCTGATCGCCTATGGACTAATTAGGAACAAGTAAGAAAGAATGCATTTGAGAAGAATGAGGAAATTACAAGTTTTTATCTGATTAAAAAGAAAATGTCAGGCAGATTTACAGGAAAAATCTTTTCAACAAATGAGGTTTTGAGTACAATGAAATAGATTTTTGTCAATGAAGACTAATTAAAGAATTATTGTATTTTAAAACTGTTAACACTATCGACGCGCAACTAGCACCATTCTGTAATATCTTAGACTGATACATTATACATTTACCCAAACTGGTATGTGGAATTCATTGGAAGTGATTCTTACATATAATTACTTGTTTCGACACGGTGGACCTTCGAGGTTGGTAAGAATCAATTAGCTCCCAAACCGGTCTACCATCGATGCAGACTAACATTTTCATCAAAACGCCATTCAGTAAGTTCTATGACCTTAGCTCCCTCGCCGTTTTCACAAATTTAGTGCTTGCTAGAACAGCTACAGGTTTGTCGCTGATATTTATAGCGAGATATTGTGGTTGAAGAATCTTCAGTTGCATTGTTTGAGGACAAGTAATAATGTAGCTGAGAGATATTTTATCACTTACAAATGGCTTATAGATTATAAATCTATAACAATTAGCATTTCAAAATATCGATCGCTTATCTCTCAACATATATTCCATCTATTCAATATTAGGAGAGACATTTGTTTGCTTACAATTTGAACTTAAATAAAAGTTAAATACGGTGTGGTGTGGCTAAATCGTTACCGATTAGGTTACCCAGGTTAAACTTGCCTCATCAGAGGTTGTCTAGCTAGTGTATGGAGATTGTAATGGCTCTTATTTATATGCACTTTCGATTTCCAGTCCGACGCCCGTGATTACTCTTATCCATTTAATATTTCAGCATAGAACTATAATTACAGTTCTATGATTTAAGTTGCATGGTTTTCTGTTTGGTCATATGATATTCAAGTCTGTAATATTAATAATTAACCATTGTCTAAAATGTTTAAGTGCGTTACTTGGATATTTAAGTCATTGACTGCAATGTTCAAGTTTGTAACTTAGATATTTAAGTCATTAGCTGTATTGTTCAAGTCTGCGACTTGGATATTAAAGTAATTGGAAGCAATGTTGTTGTCTGTAACTTGAATATTTATTCAACTTAATATTAATAACTTATAACTTATTATTTATGGATACATTATGTACTTGCAATGTGGTAAAAGTTGGAATTCATGGCGGTTAAATAGGGAATTCTATTTCAAGGAGGTTAAACCGTAATTCAAGGCGGTGTTATTAAGTGTGTTATCAAGACAGTTCCATGCAGATAAATGGTTATTCGCGGCAGTTAGTTGGTATTTTCTTAGATTATGACCCCGCCATTCTTTTTTGTGAGTATCCCACTTACACTATATTTCACGAAAATAAACAAATTCAGTAAGTTTCCCGCGCTACCCATTCCCCACAACGTCAACGATAACGACAACACTGTCTGGCCTGTCTTGGAGTGAAGTTGGTTGTCTTCGTTTCTGTCAGTGATACCAATATGTGGCCGTCTAATATGCAGGTCCAATAATATGAACGGTAGAGCCGTTACATATGCATCATTTCAAGATAAATTTCCAGAAATATTTTACATCCGCGCACGACCTAGCATGTGTATTCAAGATTACATATATATTCGTTAATATTGTCAGATCAAACGTGCTGTTTATAAGCCATTTTTAATGTCTGCTAAGCTTAACAATCCGCTCAATCTGGATTCAGTACGATAATAAACCGACTATTAATAATTGATTTACATTACTATAGGGACATGAATTATTGTTGCAAGATAAAAGCCTTTGACTATATCGTGTTCGGCTTTAATACATCATTTAGTTTTCCAGTTTTCAGGAACATTTACTTTTAAACATATTCAGTAAGACTGCCTTTTTTCCGTGCTTGGTAGGTTGCCAACGATCACCACAACCCGTTTTCTCTTTGGATCTTTCTCAATTGAATATCAAAAACCTATGTGCGGTTTGTTGCTGTATAGCTACCTCGTTAAATTCATACCCTGGTGTTCTTTTACAATGGCTTGAAATGTAAATGTTCTACCAAACACAATGACGGAATAGAGTTCACAAAATAGAATCTGATGAAAAAAATATTATTACCTAATGACGGTTAGAAATTTCGGTGTAAAATGCAGTTACCTTTTTATGATCATTTTAAATTCGAAAGGGCAGTTTCCAAAAATAAAAGACAAATGTTCATAAAAATATTTAAAAGGGTGATTGGCCATTTTCGTGCAATTAAAAAACAACAAGGAGCTTGGTTTATTGTACCTATTCGAACGAATAGACGCTGTTTGTATATCGAGTGTTTTAAGTGTATCCTGCACTAAACTGCTGTTGCTCAGCCAGTTGTTCAATTTAATTTTACTTACCTTATGAGATCTAGGAATGTATCCACTGAATTCACTCTTTTTGCTGCACCATATCTTTTGATTTCGGATGCCTCTGCACCACCACCAGGCCTGATGCTTACTGCCATGATTATTCCAAGGATGACCGCCAAAATTGTTGTACATGCAAAGTAAGCAATGGTTCGCAAACCCATTTTACCACAAGTTTTAGCATCGAGTCCGGCAATACCTGCAATTAAGCTAGCCACAATAAGTGGCAAAATAAGCATTTTTAACATTCTCATGAGAATTTCACCAGGAAACATAAGGTACATAATTTGTCTTTTGCTGAAATCGCCACCAATTGAACGCACCATAAATCCCATTCCAACACCCAAAAATACACCACAAAAAAGCAAAACAAGAAGCAAATTTTCCTTCGAATTGTCCAAACATTTTCGACCACAGTTTTTAAGTTTGCTTCGAAATCCAGCTCGACCACTTTCCGAAGGAATGATATGAGAATGAGTATTCAATTTTTGTTGTTCATCGTCTTCAGGCGAAAACATGATTGCAAGACTTTTTTTTTTAATTTCTAAAAAAAATTGCTAAAGAAAAATAACACGCTTTAACACATTGGTTAAAACAAGAAACTTTGAAAGCGAGCAGAATAAAAGCGCGCACTTGTTATCGTGGTTTGTATAGCTCTGTTGTGATAAAATAGTATCCGATTGAAGAACGAAGCAGAAGTATATTGGAAACTGAAGAGAGAATATCCTAGTAAGACTAGCAGGAGACGGTATAAAGGATTGATAGACGGTCGTATCACTTTCTATTCACTTCATACAACATCCACTGTTCTTTACACAATTAGTGAAATTGATATTTTCCCGCGCTCACTTCAAACGCAGACGTCAATTTGTGGCTGGTTGACACAGAAGGGAATAAATGCACGAGAACTGGAAATTACATTTGAAGATTATCAGGATAACCATGTACTGAACAAATTCACCTCACAGTCATGTAAATCATATGTATGCTTTTTATGACTTGTAGACGAAAATGCTTTCACGTATTATCAGTTGATATACAAATGATGTATTTTTAATGTTTATTCGATAACTTTAAGAAAGTATTAGAAAGCAGTAAGAGATACTAAAACGTTAAGTATTGAAGACTTTCTCTCTATTTTAATGATAATGCGTTCGGGTTTATTGTAGTATAAGGCTATGTATAAATACATCAATAAAATCCTAGCCCAAGGGAATAATGTCGTACTCAGTGAAAGTTGTGGTTCAACAAGAATCAGGATATGAATAGGAAGCCACATACTATATGGAACATATGTAAACAACAAAATGATCTATAGATTTTTCAAGGTTCAAGCGACAAATGTTTCATTACATCTGATCCGAGTTCGAGTAACTGGGCTTTTCACTCGGATTTAGATATAAGCCACAGTACTGTTGATAAATTAGCAGGGAAGCAGAGGGTTTCATGATGGGTGAACATGACTAGTCTAGCTCAAATCAAAGATGTCGTCCGAGAAGGGTGTCAAAATCGCTAAAACTTTCTGGGATGACTTCTTTTAACATAGACATGCAGTGACACAAAGCTTATTTATCTCTAATATGAAATAGTATCGAAATATTGACATGTAAAAGCGATTGCTGTAGCAAAAAACCGGGAGTACCGGGTACTTAATTTTTTAATACTTAATGTCGCATCACTGACTTGTGAAATTCTTTTCGTTGAATAAAGTATGATGTCTTGTAGTTGAAAGAGTTTATAATCACCAATGACTTACTTTATTATCGATTTATTCAACATGTGGTATGAGGCGGCGATATTTTTGGTTACTGATTGGGATTATGGGGATTATAAGATTACTGTGTCTTTTTTCATCTCACTTTCTATCTATAAGAACGACTGGAAAAGTGAGTCTAAATAAGATATCATGGAATTTTCTTCTTTTGAATATCCTGATAAACTTTTTGGATTTTTGGATTAGAAACTATTAGAATTCGATTTAAAGCAGTCAGGGATAGGATGAACAATTTGAAATGAAAACGGATAACATCACTTTCTATATTCAGTTATTTATACATAATATGTATGTCAGCTATCCAAGCACAGACGTACGACTTGTAATCTTTATAGTGTGTAAATGTTTTCATTGTATTTTCTACACATTTAGTTACAAGCTTCCATCATATTCGGTCGATGAGACCATTATTTAACATTGTGTTTTATAAATGTTTTTACCAATATACGACACTTCTATAACTTAATAATTATTATCATAGTCCGTTTCTCTGTGCATTAAGATTCTATCTGATCAAAATACAAAATGAATCTGCAGGTCCTGGAATTCCACTGAAACTACATGTTTTATGACGTCACTAATCGCAAAGTTCTTATGTGATGCAGCATATTTTGCGATTCGAGACGTTATCAATCATATTTTAGTGGAATTTCAGGAAACACAGACGTCTGATTGAAAATTGGAATGGTGCAAATTGATGCTTACAGTGTCCCCGACACTCATATATACAAAATTTAGAAAACCTCTTTATACAATCCCTTTTATATTATGAAATATGTAAGTCGAATCAGTGCTCGATGCCATTCCCTAATAAGGTAATAATTTTACTTAGAAATGGAATGATAATATTTCCTGCAGTGCAAGATCCTGTAGTACAGGTATAACCAGTCGGACAGCAATGTTGTTTATATTCAGCAGACAGCATAGAGTAAAATATATTAACATTAAACAAAAAACAAGGCAATTTTGCAAGAAAACCAGTTTCATCATCAAACACGGTCTTTGTGTATATTATCACGTGATACAATTTGTGTGAGAATTCTTCCATTGTTCTTTATACGAAATGAAGTCGTTTTATCTAAAGTTCCCCGCAACCTAAATGCGTATGTATCAAGACACTGATAGTGATAGCATCAATTTGCAATTTGGTTCTGGGTGGCTCAGAGAAAACGATAATACTTTTCAATTCAGAATTTTTCAAATAATTCTAATTAAAATTATATTACAATTTCCTTTTTAGTTTTCTCATTATTTTAGTCTACTATGAAGACTACCAATATCAGAAAAACGAAAAGATATGAAATTGTAATATAATTTTGATTAAATTGGGTGCAAATTGATGCTACCAGTATCCTCGATACTCATAGAAGTTAGAAAAACTTCTTAACAATCCCTTTAATATGAAATGGGGGCGTATATTGCCGTCACCCATGTCCTTCAGTCCGTCGGTCGGTCGGTCGGTCGGTCCGTCCACAATTGCTCGTAAACACTCTAGAAGGCACAATTCTTGATGGATTTTGAGAAAATTTGGTGTGAGTGTTCGTAATCACCCAAGAGTGGACCCTACTGAAAATCAGAAAAATCGAAAAATATTTAGTTATTGCCCTTGTTCTTGATAACGCATTCAATTTTTAGCTCGTAAACACTCAAGAAGGTACAGTTCGTGACGGATTTTGACGAAACTTGGTGTGAGAGTTCGTAATCATCCAAAGATGAACCCTTTTGAAAATCAGAAAAATCGAAAAATGTTTCATAGGAGTTATTGACCTTATTCTTGAAAACACTTTCAAATTTTAGCTCTAAACACTAAAAGGCATGATTCTTGTCGGATTTTGACAAAACTTGGTTGTATTATTCAGTACCTCGTCGAAGGTTAAATATTTGCCTTCTTTAGTTTTCACGAGCTAAAAATTAAACACCGTTTTAAGAACAAGGGCAATAACTCATACTCAATATTATTCAATATCGCCCCAAACAGTTCAGAAGTGTATGACTGATGTTTGAATATTTCATACTGGTGCTTGTTACTGTTCTGCTAAAAAATCTTATAGTAGAATGCATGATATTCAACTTACATTAGGTACTGGACAGCACCCATATTCATCATTGGGCAACAAACAGCATGTATCATTCGCCATACATTGAGCTACCGATGGACATATAACTGGACCAATCAATACGTGTCATCTAGATTCATCAATGAGAGTAAAACCTAGGGCTACTTTATATAACCCTGGCGGAGAAATTATAAAATTCACTCTTACACATTTGAAAATAATCATCCCGGAGTTTTTTATAACACGCAGAGAATTTGATATGTTGAAATGGGAAGTATTTCTTCTTTATTAATGTCGTAAGACCTAGAGTGTTTTGACTTTATGATCAGCCATAATGAATATGTGTCATATAATCAGCTCGATCATAGTGATCGATATCGAACAGCATTATCCCCCATCCCAACAAATACAGTACTATACAACAGTCATGTATTCATTTTCAGAAATGAAGAGAATTTACACAATGAATGTTTACCTTGTTTAAAGCTGGCTTAATAACATTTTGAAATGTTTCATTAAACTTGCGACCATGCCACCATACATAATATCAAACTGAGCATCATCTCAAAGATTTAAAAAGAAAAGTTCAGTTGAAGCATTTCTGCCTATCTGAACAAAGAAATCAAAAATGCAAAAATTTAAAACGTAATATTTACACTCATCATTTTTGCTTTGACACAACCAAGCTAAAATCGGAATATTAATTTAAAGTAAATAGCCTATGTATATAGATTAAAAATACTATAGTTAATTATTTTTTTATATTAATGATCTATGAAGAGATCATGATGATTCCATTGTGGCAAGGTGAGACAAACACTATCTATCACTATGCTATCACGCCATTCTGTAGCCCGCGACAATTCTGACAATTAGTTCCCATTATAATTTTAACTATAGGTTTCAAGTCCTAATAAACCAGGCACTTCCATTTTCCATGATTTGTTTGACAATTTTTTTTTATTTCTATGGATGCGATAGAGTTCAAAAATGACATTAAATGACTGCATTGAAAGGATGTTTGGTTGTATTTACATTTGAAGATATGATATTTGGTCAAAATAATGATTATTGGTCAAATTGATACTGTGTACTATTGTCAATCTCCCAAGGTTCTAAATAGACTTCTTATTTAAATAGATAAATATTTTTTTTTTTTTCAAAAACTTCATCATTTACCTTATTCCATAAAGTTTGTGTTTGTGCGGATTGAATAATGAGTTATCGAAATCACACTGGGTGGAGCTAACTTTTTTGAATTTCGTTTTTAACTTTTCGTTTGTATAGGCCTATATTATCCTATGAATAATTTAATTTGAAAATTTCTGGTCTTTTCGTCTTGGCAGGTAGAATAAATTCTTTCTAATATTTCTCTGATAGCCTTTTGGTTTAGTAAAATGTATGTATTATTTCATTGTTAACTTTGGAATTTTTAGGATAATACTGAATAATATTTTGTCAAAGTCCGGCAAGAATCGTGTCTTTTAGTGTTTATGAGCTAAAAATTGAAAGCGTTTTCAATAAAAAAAAAGGTCAATAACTCCTATAAAATATTATT